CCACTGTTCTGGTAAACAGTAGAAAGTAGTGTTCGATTAGAAAACACTTAAATAGGCCTTTCCTCATTAAAATATTTTACTTTCTATTTTAATTCTTCGAGAACCATCTTGGGTAAGTTTGTTCTTACAAAAATGCACCTTTGTCTAATACTTTTATTTTTTCTGTATTATTTACTTGTTTGTTTGTGTATGTGAGCCAATGAAACCTATGGTTTACCTATAGCCTTACAATTGAGTTAAATAACGACGATTCAGGCGTTCAAAGCGAAATTTTAATTTTTAATCAACTTACATAAAAAAAACTGTGTCGTGGTGGGCACCTGGGTATGCACACAAGAGTTAATCTATGCCTTCTATAAGTTGCAAGGTAAAACAGACGATGAAAAAGGTGTAAGAAAGACATGGGGAATCTAAAAGTTGCATTCCACAACATATCTCCTCATCTAAGCAAAAATCCTTGGTGAACTGGTTTCTTGTACTCATACAGAGAATATAGAATTGGTTGATGAAACCAAAATTCAGATTTTTGCTTTAATCTGTGCCTTCTATAAATTGCAAGGCAAAACAGACAATGAAAAAAGTGTAAGAAAGACATGGGGAATCTAAAAGTTGCATTCCACAATACTAACTGTCTTTTCTTTCAAATAACATTACTTTAAACTTAATTGAGTCACTAGTTTCAAACCTCGTGAATGTTTTTACTATTTTAAACATTATCCTTTAATAGTTCTGGTTTCCCTGTGTGAGTCTTAATGTGTAAGAAAGGGAGAAATACTTCAAAATGCATATGAATGACGACAACGGCGAATGAGTGCTCAATCTGATTATTTTGAAAATCTAAACAGGCAGGAGTTTTAATTATCTTATAAGAATGATGTGCATTGTGCCTCTAAAGCTTTGGCGACAATGGAGTCTCGGTCCACCATTCCCAAGTTCAGCGATTTCTTGCCGATTTAATGTTTTAATTGTTTTAATTATTTTTCTGTTTTGAAAAGAGAATTAAACGCCTATCTAGCATCAAAAAAGGTTCTTCCTCCGACGTATTGTACCAACCTATCAACACATACATTTAGAATGAGGGATGAATACTCATACGCCCTGCGTAATGTGCGTATTTACTACTTAGCCTATAAAATCGTGTCGAAAAGTGTTATTCTTTTATGTGCGTACCTAACAGATTCAGATATAGTTTTATAAAAGAAGTTTTGTAACTTTCTAACAAACTACTAACTAGTGAGAGGTTCCCAAGATAATCTAAAAACACTTAGGTCACTAACCTAAAAAATTAAAGTACATAGAACATATTTTTTCTCACTTTTGCAGCAAGATGTCGCGGGTGAGCCCACTTTTTTATTGTGTTAATTTAATATGTCAAATAATAGTGAAACAATATTTAAAACCCATTTGACATTACATCATCCAACGTAATTGTTATAAATATATACAAACTTGAAGGATATGTTGTAAAACTTAACAACATTGCGAAAACATCAATTTAAAATATTTTTAACATCAAATGAGTGTACAACTTGTATACAACAAGTGACTTAAAATATTATTTAGAAACTGCCATCGGTGGATGCTACATCCTTGCAAAATAAAAAAGTACAATTATTATATTCAGTTGAAAGTTTTATATTTTATATGGATCGGTCCGACAATACTGACTTACTTATTATATCTAATACTAACATACTACTATCACCAAAGCTGAATACCATTTATCAGATCTGGTAACATGGTCCCAGGGTTTTTATCAACAAGGTAGAGCATTTTTATTGCGACCAATGGTCAAGCTGCCTCAAAAAATATAAATCTACTGGATATTCACAACACATATTACCCAAATATAAACAAGTGATCGGTGCATGCTCAAAATTATATATGAGAGGGTTTCTAAAGTAATCTGAAAAGGAATCTAATGTATAGGAATATTTGAATAAAATGTTGAATATTTTTATAACTAGCTCTGAGTGCTATGGTACATAACAATCAACGATATCTTTAACAATATTCGCACATTCATCGTCTTCTCATATAGGCACTATTAATTCCTAGATTCCATTTAAATTATGAGCTTTTGATTTTGAGGCCAAAAATATTCCATATAATGTTTTTAATGTTATTAATAGTAAAAAATCGAACATTGATCGTCAGAGAGGTTATATTTTGACCTAATTTTTATGCGTCTTTGTTTATAGTTGGCAATATGTTGTGTCAATATATTAAAGTTAATAGGAAGGTAGGAAGTCTCTACAAAGATACGAGGATTAACATGTAGTAAGAGAAAGTCAAGGAACACTGTATTTGACTGAGTAACTGTTAAGTGGAAAAACGTGTAATCTGAGTATTATATTTTTATTATTGCAGCATTGTCAAAACTATTTCATTTTACACTTAATTACAACACAAAAGAGTTACTTGAGCTAATTTTCCTAATCGAATACCAATAATAGTTCGATCCAGGACGAATTTCGTGAAGGTATTTCAAAATCGGTTGTTGTGGCATAACAAACCGATATAATGCATCAACTAATTCTGCAAGATAGTCTCTGAAATCGAAGCGTACTTACGCATTCGTTCTACAAGCAAAATATTTGCAAAAAAAGAAAGCTCTAAACTTTTTCACACTGTTTCCACTGAACAAGCTTTCTAATATCATAATACTGAGATTTTTAATGTAAAGTTACACAATTTAATATCTTTCAAATATTACTGTAGGAAATTAACCTAAATTATGGTTTCGTACGAAACTGCATCTAAAAAGTGACATCTTGGCAACACTGGGCGTTCCAGAAAATAAGCGCACGAATATTGCAAAGGATATTTAAGTATCGCCGCAACGTAACCATAAAGTGGATACTATAGCAGAGTAAATAAGAATGTTGTTTGGAATTACTATAATTTAAACTAATGAAAAATAGTTTTGAAATTTTCAGGTGAATACTGAAATTTTTTTCGTTGAAATAAAATATTATATAGATATAGACGATTTATTTTTCACTATCATTTCTAGTTTCTATTTAACTTTTTATTATGTAAACTATCAAAAAAAAACAGAATGTGTTGACAAAATTTTTGAATTCCATCATAGGAATTCCAAAAATTTTGTTTTTTTGATAGTTTATATATTAAAAAGTCCAATAGAAACTAGAAATGATGTAAAAAATAAATCGCCTATCCCCGTAAAAGCCTCAGTGAATATAATCTACGATTATCTAAATTATGGGATAAATTCTTTTATTTCAACGAGAACTGTGCCCACCTGAAAATTTCAAATCTAATGAGAAATATGGACTTAATATTCTTATGTCCACTGATAACAAGGTTAAGCAAAGAGATATTTCGAGGTTTTTTGACAATGAGATCTTTATTTTATCATAAAAGTACCAATTAATATAACCAAAGTTAAGCTAGACAGTCAATAAGTACAGACTATGATTTTAACAGATTATTGTTCATTAAATAAACTAACATTTCTAGGTATCGAAATAAGAGCTAAAGAATATGTGTCCTTATTTTATTTCAGTATGAGTTGCCGTCGGCTTTTTATCGGGAAAGAAGTACACATCATTGTAGATATGTCAGACATAAGTAGTCTGCTTGGCCCAAATAGTAGACAAGCTGATTTTGATAAATCGAATTTAAAACAAACGAATATGGATGAGGAAATTCATGATTTATGAGAAAGTGAAGATAATGATAACCGATAAAAATTACACTGTACTTAAACTGCCGTCAAACGGTCTTGCACTATAATGCCGTTAACAGCTATGACGTAATTCGCATGATACGTTTGACGGCATTTTCTTCGGCTGCCGTTCGCTTCCATTTGCAATAAGTTTATTTTGTTAACATATTTTTCAAACTAAAATTCGTTTTTTCCAGCATACTTTGCTCTTTAAACAGTTAAATAGGTCTCATATCACATGTAATATATTAAAATTAATTTTTTAAATTCACTGCAACAGTGTGAACAATACACTACTGAATGCCTAACTAGGAAATCAATGAACAATTTATCTCTCTATCTTATTGCAACGTTGATCTACTATTCCTTTCTACTGGTCCTAAGAACGCGACTTTATCGCATTCACATTTCTCAGAATCTACTGCCGACAAATATGAATCTCAACTATAGTACATTCTCGTGGACGGCAAATGTCCAAATTGCAGCCGAATCGGATTCGTAGTTTTGTTCTTGACCTATCAGCTTCCACATGAAATGATAAATGGGCAATATCGGTGAAAGATTCGATTCTTGTATTTGGAAGGGAAATCGCAAAACGAAATCAAAAAGCGCTTGGATGCTGTATACTATGACTCTTCTCATTCAATGGCGACTTTGACGTTGTTCACTTCAGACAACAGGCGTAACCATGAGACCACTTCAGAGCAGTGTTTGACGCTGTTTACAGGGTGTGATATATATATATATATATATATATATATATATATATATATATATATATATATATATATATATATAGACTACCTGGATTTGACGCCGAATTGCGGAAAAATCTATCTATCCACCATATTGTCCATATTTGGACAATAATTCTTTTTAAGTCACTCATTGGGCAGTAATTTACTTGTGCAGTACAGTTTACTGCAGTGTTTTGCAGATCTCGAAGAAGTTTAAGCATCGCTGGGTCAAGTGTATCGAGCTAAAAGGAGACTATGTTGATCACCACTTTTCCAAAAATTTTGTTTTTGTTTTGTAGGATAAGTACTTATCGGACCGCGCTCGTAGCTGTTCGCGATTGTAATAGAGGTGACGGGAGTGATGAATAACAATTACAGATCACCCACTATGAACGTGGCTGGTGATAGATCTCCTTCTGGTTGCGCGTACATTACAAAACTTAGGTCGACCAACCACGGTCGACCTATTTACAATCTGTGAAACTTTTCGGTACATTTTAACTGTAAAAATATGTTATAATTTTTTAATAAGATTAAAAATGATTAAAATAGTCTGTAATAATGTTATTTTTCCTTTCTAATTAAATAATTTAAATAATAACGCTACATTTCTAGCGTTATATTTGTTAAAAGTTTTCTTAAAATAAGTACCTTGACCGAGTCCATACAAAAGGATTTATATATTTAATCACATAGCTTATTCATGAATATGTGGTTTGTTCTTTTGACATTAATGAATATTGGTAACATTATATACTCTTTTTAATGACCAGAAACTAGACTTGACAAAAAACACAAAAAATAATTTGTGTAATTTTAATTTAGATAAATTTTAAATTTTGTTATAATACCTACGTTCTTAAAAGTAAAATGAATGTTTGTAGATTGAGGATAAAACGGAATACCAAATTTCATTTGCAGAATACTTCTTTCTCAGTCTTTGTTTCCATACACAGTGTTGGCCACTCCAAAGAGTCCACCCTTATGTTTATCAATATTCATTAAATTTTGCGAAAATGTTAAAACTGGTGGATCTTTAATCCAAAATACAGACATCTGTCAATTGTCAATCCTTCCATTGTGTAAAAATGGTTGTAAAAATCGTTAACATATTTAGATGTCATTGAGATCAGAAATTCATAAAATAACAATCTGCCTAATTTGGCATAAGCTCTGACGAGGATACGTTTAGGTTATTAAGTAGAGTTTTTAGTTATTATATTTATTATTAGTTTTTGTGTCACAAGAAAATTTATGTAATGTTACCAATGTACATGACGGCCAAAAAACTCAACCTACCTTAAAATACTACATCATCTTCTTTCCTGTCTTTCTTCATTAATATTAAGTATCTCTCTGCTAGTGTAAGGTGGCGGGGGTTCACTGATCAACCTATTGTTTCTTAACACATCAACGTACGACGGAGGTTGATCGGTGAACCCTCTGAAGTTGTCTATGTTAATGCGGGCTCCTGTAAATAAGAGCGGATCGCTAACTTCTGACGTGTCTATGATTATGTTGGAACGAGGTGTACGTGAATGGTTGCGGACTGTGTAGATTCCCGCCGGTGCAAAATCAGCTCTGATTATGTTGACGTTGGTCTGGTTGCGCAACGCGATGTTCTCGCAGATATTGTGGTGCCGCTGTTGTTGCAGAGCACTTTTCTTGGCGAATATCACTACTTTGGAGACTATGAGCAGCAGCAAAACGATAGAGAAAAGGATGCTAATAATACCTTAAAAGTAATTACAAACTTAGAGTGAATTGAAAAGCATTTAGATTCAAATTTAAATCAGTATTATCAATGTTTTTAACGAATCGAGTTTAGTTTTTATTTGATAACGAAATAAATGAATGGAGACTTACAAACTGAGATAAACAAATATCGAGCGCCGTTGTGTTGATTATTATTCATACTGGGATACCCATATTCTAATTCTTCATAACCTAAAAATGATAAACATACTTGAACTTCAGTTATATGGATAACACGTTGTCATTTGGACTGATGAGGAAGTTAAACTTACTAATTTCTTAAATTTCCTAAACCGTTAGATGTAGTTTACCAAGGGAATAGAAAATAAAAGGATTTCATTTTTGTATGGCTAGAACTCGGTACTCCGCCTTCTACTACTACGCAGATATGTAGTTTTATAGAAGCGGATTTTCAGTCAAACTATAGTTCAATAGCAACAGCGGAGTCTCTGTCAGTTGCTCCAAGCTGTTTTAGCTGTAAAGCCAGCCAGTCGGCGTGGTCTACAGATATAGTTTGGCCGCCCGAAGAAGAGTTACACTCAACGTAAGAGTAGGTACCTAACAAGCTCGATACAGGCCATAAGACTGCGTATTAAACGGTGCAGTATACTCGCAAAAAGGCAAAACGCTCAGGGCACCCAGTCCGGTTGAAAGAGACTTTTGACACCTGAAGTGTATATTAAGAGTACTGAAGAACTAGGAAGCCTGTCAACACTCGGTGTTGAACAAAACCCTTCCTTAAACCAGTATCCCTACCCTAAGTAATGAAGGACAACCACCGAAAACCGCAAAAAGGCGACCCAGACAACTTACGACCCGTAGGGCAAGTATGATACTCCTAGAGAAGCGGTTCAATAGAACAAAAAAAATAGTCATTTTCTAACAAACAGTCCATCCAAAACTTCTCACACCTACATCTCATCCCTCACACTCATCTATGTGTGAGAAGTTTTGGCTATGCACATATTACGTCAAACAAACCTGAACATATAAGCAAACCTCCTCACATATAGACTTTCAGCCTTAAATAACTTCACAAACAGTATATATCTGCTTACCTTAACCATCTGCATACACAAGATACCAAACCTCCTCACACGCAGTATTCTGGCTCCTGAACGATATCATTCTACTCCAGCCCCTGAACGATATAATCCTATTCCACAACACAGACCACCAACAATATACCTATAGACACCATGTTGCGCATGACAAGTATACAACTACAGATACCTCATCAGTGGCAGAAAATTCAAATTACTCTTAGCGGTTCCCCGATCTTCTTGTCATTATCAGTTCAAATCATACCCTACTAAAAGCAACAATATTTCCAACATCATCCACAAACTCTAATAAATCACACGACTATTTCAGCCCATCTTCTTCTACCACAAAAGCCCCCAAATGACCACATCACAAATCCAATTATATTGGAAACAACATGATCACTGATCACCATAGCCCCATAGTGCTAACGCAAGCCTTTTAGGCCCATAGCTTGACAATTGTTCTCCATTCTTTACAGTCCTTAGTTTTTCTTCTCCAATTTCTAACCTTTTCTCTTTCTTGGTCGACCTACTCTTCTTTTGTCACTCATATCTATATTTATTAATATTTTTGTTATTCTTTCATCTTTCATTATTTCTAAATGTCCCAATCATCTCATTGATGCTTTTACTACTTCTGATATAGCAGGTTCTTCTGATAAACAGACTCATGATATCGGCATTGGTTCTTCTTGTATTTACCTCCCCCTCTTTAATACCTCCAAAAACTCTTCTGAATATTTTCCTTTCCCATGCATTTCTTTTTCCTTCTTATGTTTGGTTTAGCACCCATGTTTAGCTTGCACAGTGGACTGCTGGCCCCAACTCTTTTGTATATATGTATTTTGGCTTGTCTTGACACATTTTTAGCACCTTTTCCAATTTCCTGTATGTCAGGTCCCAGGTAAGTAAAATTCTGAACTTGTTCTAGAGTGTAGTCTACATTCTCGTTGATCTTGAAGATTACCTGTTCTCTTAATCCTGTTCGAGGCACTGTAAATATCATGTATTTTTGATTTCTTTTCATTAATGACGAGGTTGAGTTTGTCCGCTGAGATTTGCAATACATTGCATACGTCTCTCAATACATCTGCAGATCTAACCAGAATCGCAACACCATCCACATAGGCCAATGTTTGATAGCACTTTGTTCTGAAAGACCCTGGTCTGTTTAAATTGCTATATCATAGCACCAATCCTAGACACAAATTAAACAGGACTGTACACAGAGGATCCCCCTGCTTTAAACTTTTTTTGTCTAGAAACTGGCAGTTTTTCATTGTATTTGATCTTCATGCTTACATTGCTGATTATCATATTAACTAGATCAATTAATTTGCTCCATATTTTTAAATTTTTTAATAAATTTTTTTGAATACTCTTCACTAATATTTTTATACCATATCCAGCAAGGCTATTCCCCTGTAGTTTGAGCAGTCTTGACTATTTTTTTTTTTTTTTTTTGTAAACCGGTATTAAGAGTTCCAATATGTAGGCATTTCTTCCCTCTTCCATATAATTTTTATGAACTCATGTAATTCTTCTGCTAATTTTTCTCCTTCACACATAAGTTCTGTATATATTCCATTTTCGATTCTGAAAAATGAGTGACATACTGCTTAAGACACTCTCTACTTCTACTAAAGATTAGAAGATACTACTAAAGATTTAAAATGGAAGAAAGCTTTCTTTTGTGCTTTCCTTTTCTATTCCGAATTCACCAATCTTAAATCCACTTTCTCGCAAATAGGTGTTTTCATCATATGTATTTGGACCCAGTTTTGGGTAAGGTGTCTGTAGTATTGGATTCTAACTAACTCCACTTTCATTCATCCAATTTTTCTACTTACTTACAGGCTACCATGAGACTAATTCCTCGCTTTACCGGTAAGTATTTCTTGGGTAAATGTGATGGTGCAGGATCTGGACCTCACGCTTGTTCACATCATGAGTTTCCTGCCAACTTACCGATCCCAACTTCCTCATTCATAGTTCTAAGTAGCGTGAAGATACAGTATCACTGGCAACAGCAAGGTATAGCCAATCAATAAGATCTTAGCAAAAAATGTCGCCAAGTTCATTTTCAAACCTTTTTTTTTTCTTTTCTGAGGGTGGAAATTTTCAAAAACGTACCAGGTTAACCCATCCCTAGGGGTGGCTGGCGTGTGAGCCATTTTCCCCTAGAGGAAGTACTGGAAACGGAAGCCTTCCTGTTATCCTGCCTACCAACTAAAACCACCCTCTCCTACTTGTGCGCAGTTGACTGTCGCATGTACCATACTCTGAAAGTGGGGTGGCCGTTGTAAAGCAGACGACATTTTTGGAACACTTCCTTCTCTTATCTAGATCTTTGGCTCCGCCGTAAAAAATTAAAAGATCCAAAAAACCTTTGTCCATTCCAGGAGTTTGTCGCATTCCCTGTAGTTGGGGTTTAGTTTACAATGGAACAAAAACAAATGCTCGTTTGACAGAACACAAGAGGGCTTGTCCCTTTGGTTTCTGCAAACAGTAAGGTAAGCAGCACACACTGTCACACAAGACAAGTACCAAACTATATTTGGAGGAACACAGACAATTATAGACAATTTATACAGCATCATACTAGTATCCACGGGATAGCTAATAATTAAATGGAATGTTTAATATTAAAAAAGACCAATCACATACTATCACTGATAAACTCTTTTGATTTCATATGTGTTATTAAATTATATATTTTATTTATGACTGTATTAATTTTAAAATTTGTACAAATATAATATTAAGTAAATATTCACTTACTTTCTGGCACTATAAGACCTTGACAACATTTTGGTCTGATAGTTACAGTACAGTTTGGATCAAGATGTCTATCACAACACCAACTGCTAGGAATGCATCTACCATCTTCACAAGGAATCTTATCTATAACAAATGATACAAATTAAAAAATAAAATTTTCAATTGTGTTGATCTCCTGAAAACAGCACATATAGGTAGTACCAAAAAATAATGCAATAATTTTTTAATACATAAATGCAAGAAAGGGCCGTCCTTGATGGTACAGTAGTAAACAAAATGTTTCTTGCACATTGCAAGAAAAAAAATCCTAAAAAATGGTCCTAAAAAATTTGCAATTTGCAGTGAGAAAACACTAATTTTCCGGATGTCTTCTCCTCGGATATTAAATACCCTGAGTCTTAGCTGATTGATTTACCAATCTGTGATACATCTCTGACTGACCTATTTCTATAAATCCAGTACAAACAATTGCCTGATTTAAGTCTTAGAGAAGTACCCTGACCACTATAAAATCTACATCAATTGTTTCATCAGAAAACAATCTTCTTTTCTGTCTACCCCAAGTATGTAGCACATATTACATATGTAAAACATATTTTTTCTAAACATCCTTTTGCAAAGTTAGTAAAATACCAGCTGTCCCAATCAACATGGAAAAAGGCGATTTTAAGGCAAGAACAGGCAATTTTAAGCGATTATTCTGAGCCTATAGACAAGTGTGTTTCCAGTGACTTAAAGCTTAATTTAAAAACAAAGTTTTGTATTTGTGGCGAAATAAAGATGTGAACAAATTGTGCTTGCAGGTCTATGTCTAGGATATACCAAGTTAACACACTCTTATCTTTTCACAAAGAATAACCCACCCATATGTCATCAGTGTATTGTTTGATTAACAGTTGAACACTTTTTAATAAATTGTGGTCAATGTGATAAAAAAAGACATTGTTACAATATCTGAATATCTTGAATACTCTAGCAGAAGTTCTAGGTCAAGAGTGTTCCTATGGTAATATAATTAAATATCTAAGATCTATTAACATTTTCTATAATCTGTAGTTATTCAATTTTGTTATTTATATTTTGTTCCATCTCTAATAATCATTGGTGGACGTGACTTTTTTGTAATAAAAAAATTGAATGCAAAAATTGGCAACATAATACCAACTAACACAACATAATACAACATATATAATATTAACGTAATACAACAATTTAATGAAGATATACATAAGGAAAATGGAGAACTTCTGATCAATTTCTGTGCACAAAATGAATATAGAACAATTAACACATATTTCAATCTAAAATAAATAAATAAAATCAAATAACAAAAAGCACCTACTCTGGTCCTTTGATGAAAATGACAAAAAAAAATAGGCTTACTTGGAATATGTGTTGAAAAGAACACAGAAGATTCTTAACGCAACCTACTTAAATTTAATTTAAAAATTTTAATCACACAAAAAATAAAAGTAGGAACAATAAATAACAACCTTTGGGAAGGTATTGTGTCTGTAGTTTGTGCAATGGGGTCTAACATAAAAGGGTTGATTTAGCCTTGCTTGTTTACTGGGAACATGGAGATTAAATGTTTCCAATAGTTGAGGACCAAAAATAATAGAGTGAAGTATACTATAAAACATAGTGAGATCTTCATGCATGCGTGGGATTTGGAGAGAAGTTATGTTTGGCGGACCTTTCTATATTTGAATAGTTAATTTCTTCAATCCTCTGGTTTTGTTTAAATTCAACAAATCTTAAGAATTTGTGTTGAACTTTCTCAATAGCTTGAATATAGGTATTATAGTGAAGAGACCAAACACATGAAGAGTAATCTAGGTGGGATCTCACAAGTAAACTATATAAAATTTTTATGGATGGGATATTTAGAAAGTCTTTAGCACAAAATTTGATAAACCCTAAAAGTTTAAGTGATTTTGAGACAACAGATGAGATATGAGAGATGTAGGATAAGCTGGAATCGAACACAACACCTAGGTCTTTTATCTCTGTCTAAAAGGGAACCATTAATAGTATATATATATATATATATATATATATATATATATATATATATATATATATATATATATACAGTCAAAATCGTTTACAACGACACCGGCTATAACGTACAATCGGATATAACAAACAAAATAGTAGGTCCCATAAAATGACATACAAAAAATGCATTTATATTGCTTATAATGAACAAATCGGTTAGAGCAAACGTATTTCTTGGAACACTAGTAGTTAAAATATTGGTTACAGCGTACATCTTAATAAATAAGTTTAAAAGTGCTATCCTGTAAAGTTATGAAAATGGACATTGTAGTGTTGTATTTCACACAGGTATTACCGATATTTAATATCACGAAATGAGAAGTAAGAATTTATTAATTTATGGTTACAGTACATCCGGACAGGCATCTACTGTCCTTTAGACAGTTAGACCTCCCAAGATGGGTCCATTGTATTACAAAATTTTGTTTATACATATTTCACCATTTGGCCTAAGCCAAGAGTTTCTGAATTTGAATTCAGTTGTGTCTAGCCTTCATTGAAAAAATGTCACGGAAACAATTTACTATTGAGGAACAGTTTGGAATAATTTGCCAAGTCGATTCCGGTGATTCCGCGAGTTCGATTGCCCGGGAATTTAAAACGTCACGCTCGACAATTGCTGGAATAATGAAAAGGCGAGAGAAAATTATTAAGCAATTTAATAAGTGTGAAAAAGGAAAACGCGTTCGGTCATCAAATTACAGTGACATTGAAAGTGCTTTGCTCGATTGGTTTAAACAACAACGCGCAAACAATGTATCCGTGAGTGGTCCGATGCTTCAGGTAAAGGCTGATGCTTTCGCTGTGATTTTGAAGAAGAATCTTAAGTGTAATGCTTCCTGGGTTCAACGTTTTCGAGCTCGCCACAATATTGTCCATGGAAAAATTTCAGGTGAGTCAGCAGTTGTTGACAGATCAATTAGAAATGACTGGGTTGAAAATGTGTGGCCTACACTCAGGTCCGACTATAGCGATGATGAAATTTTTAATGCTGACGAGGAAATGACACCTGATCACACGTTAAAGTTTAAAGGCGAGAAATGTTCCGGTGGTAAACTCTCAAAAGAGCGTGTTACAGTTCTTGTTGCAGCCAACATGTCCGGATCCATAAAAAGGAAGCTTTTGGTGATAGGAAAAAGTAAAATGCCGCGCTGTTTTAAAAACGTGAAAAATCTCCCTGTTGATTATGATTTCAATAAAAAAGCCTGGATGACGTCAGCTATTTTTGAAAAGACTTTACTAAAATGGGACAGTGAACTTTTACAACAAAAGAAACACATAATTTTAATTGTCGACAACTGTCCGTCCCACCCCCCAGTTGACAGGTTAAAACAAATTAAACTCGTTTTTCTGCCCCCAAATTGTACGTCTGTACTGCAGCCCATGGACCAAAGAGTTATAAGAAGTCTTAAAGCATGCTTTCGGAAAGAATTGGTGTACAAAATCATCGAAAAGAGAGAGAATAACGACGATACGAAAGTCAGTATTCTTGACGCTGTGCTAATGATATCAAAGGCATGGGAATCTGTGCGGAAGGAAACGATCATCAACTGTTTTCGTTTTTCCGGCCTAACTAAAGACTTACAACCATCAGGAATCGCATACAACGATATTGCACAAACGCATTTGCAGGATGCCATTTCCCTTTTCAGTTCTGACTGCTCTGCAGATGACTATGTACGAGTGGATGACGAAATAAGTATGAGCGAAGAACTCTCAGATATTGACATCGTACTGAGTCACCAAACTAGTGACAAACAAAGTACTGATGAGGCTGATGAAGAATTGGAAGATTTCGGCAAAATCCCTACTGTTGCTGAAGCGTATGCTGCTTGTTCCACCATACGAGCATTTATTCAGACTGCTGAAACTTCCCAGAGTGTAAAAGAATCATTATCGATTGTTTCCACATCAATTGAAAAAATGTTTTTTTCAGAAGTTCAAGGAAGGCGACAAACAAAAATTACAGACTTTTTTCATTAAATATTCAGGTAAAATGTGTTTACATATTTTGTAATACATATATGTATGTATTTTTTTTGTCTTTTTAAAATAAATAGTATATGTATGCCTACATTTTTATAATACGAAGATTTGGAGAAGCCTTTATATTATTTCAATATTTCAATACATATTATACATATATGTATGTACATATTTAGATTTGCTTAAGTACAATAAACACATAATATGTTAAATGTTATGTATATGTTATTATAACATATTATAAGTATAGTTAAAGTAACACATTTTTGCGTCATAACCCTAGGTACAACGAACTAACTGTCCCTATTAGTGTAATATCGTTTATAGCAACCTGTTCATTATAACCGATAGAACTGCTTACAGAGAACACTGGCTACAACGTACAAAAAGCACCAGTCCCCTGAAGTTCGTTATAAACGATTTTGACTGTATATATAATTTGTAGGAGTTTTATTCTGACCAAAATCCATTAAATGACACTTTTAACATTAAGTTAAATTCCGTTACTGTCACACCAATAGCTCAACTGATCCAAATCAGACTGTAGTTTTTGATAGTCACCATCATTCAATTTTCAAATATAATTTTAAATCATCAGCAAACATTAGGAAAGAAGCAAAGAGGAAACAGGAGGCAATGTCATTAACATAGTTATTGAATAGAAGAGGTCCTAGGTGTGATCCTTGTGGCACTCCTGAAAGTACCTTAATCTAAAACAATTACAAACCCTGAACACATACTATTTGTATTCTTCCAGTTAAGTAGGTTAACAACCATTCTAAAAGTTTACCCTGGATATCCAGACTATTCAACTTATTGATTAAAATCTTGTGATTTACCCAGTCAAACACATTTGTAAAGTCTGTATATATAGCATGAAGCTGGAAATGGAGCATTACTTTTATAGATTGCAGATGTGAAGATTCATAAGAGGGCAAAAAATGGAAATGAAAGATCTGATCAAAGATATGTGGAGATTCATAAAAGGCAATGAACAGAAATGAAAGGCTGTATATATTTATTTAATATGAAACTAGATAAACTATTTGTGAAATTGTGTGGGTACAAAAGCTGATTATAATTATTATAAGCTTATTATATTATAAGATATTACTGGTTTTATATAAACAGATTTGCAGTTAACAATATATTACATTATACATACCTCTACAAGGCTCCTCATTACATTTCTCAATGGATTCATCCGATGCATCTTTGCAGTCAGGCTGTCCATCACAGACATAATGAGGTATTATGCAAACACCATTTGAAACACACTGAAACATTTGGTCATTACAAAATATTGTTTCCCTCATAGGTCTGACATCATTCTTTTTAATATTGTCTATCAGCACAACTGTAACACTAACTGAGAGATTGAATTTATGACTTGTGCAAGTGTAGACACCTTTGTCTTCAATTTGAAGTGAAGTAAATTTCTTTTCTGATTTGTTTATTCCCTGTGTGCTGGATATAATTTTTTGAAACCTTAAACAATACAAATGAATGAAACGATCTTTTAAAAAAATGGTTTGTTAACAAATTATGAGTGCAACAAGATGACAACCTAAATGAAACATATATTTATCTCAATAATAATTTTATGGCAAAATCCACTGACTACCGATAGTTGTTGACACCATACTTTTCAGAACATTCAGCGGTAGCAGCTGGAAGAATGTATCACAATGGGTTAAAGTACTGATTACTCAAGAAAATTCCAGTTATATTTAGGGGTTTTTCACTGGAGGATGTTCTTGGTATATTAGAGGATCATAAAAATTTAGTAGCAGTTGTAGAAAGTATTACTTTAGAGCCTCCAGTAAATGCATGTCATGTCATAACAGACAAGGATTCTGCTGATTGAGATATCCTGTTGATGTATAATTTACCTGGGTCACAATTACAAGCTCCTGCTAAAATTATTTGGTGATTCCACAAGAAAAACGAACTTGATGTGGTTTGTGCTATGCTATAAATAATTTGCTATGCATAAATATTTCATTTTAATGATAAATATGTTGTTTTACCTTGTATAACTTAAAAGAGTACAATATTATAATACAACTAAGTATAAAAAATAATTTCAAAATAAGACAACTTTTAAAAATTATTATATTATTATAATATTATAATATTATATATTATAATAAAATATCATAATTAAAAGAGAAACAACACACTTATTAAGTAATGCAAAGCATGTGTTTGTGGGTATCAAGGTATAAAAAATGCTTATTAAATGCTTAAAACTTTTATTTTAAAGAAGATCCTTTAGGAATTGAATCATTCCATCATCAGTTTAATAAAAAATTGTTAAAAACATTATTTGCCCACAGAAAAACAATAGAAGGACATCAGTAACAAAAAACAATCCTCGTGGAATTCACCAAGGTAAATGCAATAGACAGTTAACTTCGGTAATTAATAAAAACTAAAAATGGGGCCATCTAACATGACCCCCAGGAGCTGGTGAGATTTTGTTAACTTACATTACCTCTGATCTGTGCTGGAGTCTGGGGTTAACTGATAGAAAGATGGTATGAGTTAACCTAATAAGATAGGTAAAGTTAACCCTAGACTCCAGCACAGATCAGAGGTAATGTAAGTGGACAAAATCTCACCAGCTCCTGGGGGTCATGTTAGATGCCCCCATTTTCAGTTTTTATTAATTATCGAAGTTAACAGTCTATTGCATTTACCTTTGTAAATTCCATGAGGATTGTTTTTTGTTACTGATGTCCTTCTATTGTTTTTCTGTGGCCAAACAATGGTTTTCACAACTTTTTATTAAACTGATGATGGAATGATTCAATTCCAAAAAGATCTTCTTCAAAATAAAAGTTTTAAGCTTTTAATAAGCATTACACACAAACACCACTTGCTTTGGATTCAACAGGTATAAACTAGCCACTCCTGGATATCACCACTTCATGGTTTTGTTCCACTTTCACTTTTAATATTAAGTAATGGATAAATGATAATAAGATAAATTATTCAAAAATTCAGTTAAACTATAGAAAAATTTTGATGCTAAGAGTTTTTTAGTTCCTCTTCAAAAACTATTATAGTTTGTATATGTTGTGATTGTTAACTTCTAATTATTGTAGTCTGGCAGTGTAAAAAGAAGTTTTTAATTAAAATTATTGGATGAAAAAATGTGAAAAGGGATGAGATGACTCTGGCAAGTATACAACAGTGTAAAAAGCTCTTTCATGTTTTTAAATATTAAACAAACTGCTTCTAGATGTAGAAAATGAATATAAAATAGAAATAAGTACACATACAAACAACACAGAATAGAAATAAATTAAAACATGTAGAATAATGAAACAAACAGACAACATACTTTTATAAATTTTGATTTTTTAAACAAATTAAAAATTTAGAACAAAAATTGCATCCAAGGAGTCTAATTTTTCATACAATAAGCAGAAACTAGTATAAACTAACTGAAATAAATCCATGTCTATGAGGACTGCTGAAAGTTTTTTTTTTTTTTTGTAGTCAATGATAGTAGAAACTAGTTCTACAAATTATGTTTTTAAACTCCTTGAACTGTTCCTTTGACTATATGTCTGGATATTACTTTACTAATTATTTCAGATTACACAAGCGAAAACAGCCACCTTACCCTGTTTGGTTTGACAAAATTTCTTTTTTGGCCCATGTCAGATGGTCATCTACTGCTGAACTTTCTTTTTCTTGGTCCGATAATATCAGTTCACATATCAAAGAAAACGTTGTTCCTACTTTTTCTTCGACCACTTCGCTAACAGGATTTATGAATTCATAATAATTTTTTGTTATTGTTAAAGATTTGCCTACAACAACAATAATTTTATAAAAATCATTCAACATAACCTTAATTTTAATAAAACTACAACACATCTGTAAAATTATGATTAGGCACTGACTTACTTTTTACACTACTTATACCTAAAAGTAAAAAATAAAATGGCAATAGAAACATTTTTATTTTTATAACATTTTTAATATTTTGTTGGAAGCCATATTTGAATTGCTATTTATGTTGGTATTTGGTACACTATGGTACCAACCATGTACCAACCAACACGAATATACACAAACAAAAGCGTTGGCTAATAGATGGTGCTACAAAATTTTTAGTATATATTTTGTATAATAGAAGCCGCTCACAACATTGAAAAAATGTACTCTTGGAAACTTGATTAACAATTATTTTTTTGCTTTTGATAAATTAAAATGGATGTGTTGGTCGTACGCATCGTCATTTAACGTATTGTCATTTTTTTTTCCAAAAACTAATCCTATTTAAATCGGTTTTCTAGTCCGGAATTATGAATTCTTGGAACTAATGAATGCATAAAATTATGTATATGCATATACTTCACACTACCTCTTTTTAAAATTTTTTGGATTCAGAAACAACAAAGGCATTCCTTTTCTTTCTGATCGAGACAATAATTTATTATCCAAATAAGTAGTTAATTTTAGTTAATTTTCTTTCTGATCGAGACAATAATTTATTATCCAAATAAGTAGTGAAAATCCTTAAACTCAGAACTGAACAAAATTCATTTTATATTACTCTTTTTATGGTTTTAACCTAATGTAATTATTTCAACACCATGTTATGTTGATTTCTTAAATATTTTGTTGTAGTTTTTTTTTCTAAGTATGTGTAAAAATTATAATAATTTATGAGAGAATATGTAAAGATTACTCTTTAAGATGCTAGCTCCCAAAGAAGAATTTAATAATTAAATTAACGTATTATTTTATTGTCGTTTTTCGTCTTCGTTTTCGTTTTCGTCCAATTTTTAAGAAGCTGCAAAGAAAAAAATCAGTGGCAGCCTTTAATAAGATTCTGTTCATTTAATAATTTTGATTTAGCTTTTATAGCTATTATCTTTTATTATTTTCTTTTCTTCCTCCCCGATTCTACTTTATAGTTTGTGTAGCAAAGGAAATATCCAAAGAACTACGCCTACACCTCTTCCGATTCACAACAACTCGGCTTAGTTCATTTTGTGTGCCTCAGACATTTCCACCTGGGAAACTCTGTCACTAAGGATGACGACCCCACAAACTTGAACCCCCACACATCGAAAAATAAAAATGCGTCCTCTCAAAAATGTAGTCTTAATGGACTAAAAAGGCTTTCTTGAATAGCAGTTCCGAGTAAAGGTTAAACAGCTAGAGGAAAATACACAAGCCTGCCTTACTCCTTTATTTATACTAATATTTCTAGATGTTTGATTGATCGTCGTTGATCCCCCATCTGCGCATTTTGCCTTTATTACAATTTTTTATTGATCTATGATTTCTTTATTGAGCTTCTATTTAGTATTGCGAGCTTCACCTTGATATTTATCGTTTATATTTGTCGATATTTTGTTTTGTGCTGGGTTTCATAATGCCTACTAATATTATATTCTTTTGATACCGCGAGTACTTGACAACAAATAATGCACTGAACTTCAATTTTTAATTCGATGAAGAAATGTTGATTTTTCCATTTTCTTTGGAACGTACGATTCTCTTCGAAAATTTTGCGTTTTTTGACACTACTCATTCTGAATTTAACACTCAATTTATTCGCCACTGATAATTCAACATGACACGTGCAGCTGACTGAAGCTTAACTGCCCGCTCATCGGGAGTGGGTGTTCAAGGTTAACTACTTTCTTAAGATTACGGAAACTTAGACAGGGTTGGAACAGGTAAAAGTTATCAATGGCAATATTTTTTAATGTATTTGCGGGGGCTGCAGTTTAAAGAGCCTCGTGCCGTATGCGACCCGCGTGCCTGAGGTTGGACCACACTGATCTACGCGAACAGGTACCGAGTAATTATTTTGAAATCGACAAAGCATGGAAAAATATCCTTCTGTTAGTCGTAATAATTCTGTAACAACAGTACTTGTTGTGAAAACAAAGCCTCATTTGTCCCCATTCTGGATCCGAATCCCAGTTCATCACATTTTTGTGGACTATTTTCAGTAGAATTTTAAATACTTGTATGAAGTCAACTTGTTTTGATAAGGAAGATATATTCTAACCATTCTTCTGGTATTTCTTTTTTTTTTATTCAAAAAATTTATTTTTGGAGAAATGTGGTTTGACTTTAGAGAAAAATGTGACCATCAAGTATGTAAGTATTTTTTTTGTCCCACTTAACAATAGTCATTATATTTAATAAGTTTGATGACACTCCCCCCCCCCCCCATTGCTTTATATTTTGGCTTCGATTTAAAAAATAAAATCATTTTTCGGTTAAAAAAAATTTATTATTAAAATTCAACAAAATATATTAATTTCTAGCAGTTTTGTAATTCTTTCTGTACCAATCGACGCTGTTTTTTACAGCAACAGAAAACGGAGTAAATTCAAAATCAGGTAAATATTTCCTTAGTTTTTCGTTGCTGGCTGTCTTCTTGTATTGGCCATCAGCTTTGGTGGTATCAAACGAAATTTCTCCTTTAAAGTCAAAAGCTTTGGATATTTCTTCTGCCAATTCTTTAATTGATACCTCAGACTTTTCATCAACTAAAATAAATTGCATATAATGATTAATGACAAAAATGAAATGATTAATGACAAAAAATTGTAATTGAAGTAAAATAAAAACATCTTACCAGACAATATTATAGGTTCAACTTCTTGATACTCTCTTAATACCCATAAAAATAGTTTAGCTAAATCTAAAGAATAAATAAATTGTCGTAAAGGCTTTCCGGTTCCCATTACAGTAAAAGTATTGCCACCTAAAACATATTATAATTATAAATATACAAAGTATATTTTTAAATTGAAAACTCATTACTTTCTCATATATTTTTAATTTTCTTCAAATTTCGGAAATACCTTCAATTTTTGTAAGTAGAAATAACTTCTTCTTGTGTAATATAATATAAACAAAACTATTCTTATTCAATAAATAACAAATACAAAACATAATTCAAAAAATATACAATAAATGTAGCAATCAACAGTATTTAAGCCAAAAATTTTTTCGTAAAACATTCATAACTGTGGATTGTGACAAGGAATTATTAACAAGTAAAATGCCACTTGTATCAGTTAACAACGCTAAGACAGTAGGCTTTGAAAAAATGGCAGTTTTCATAGTATTACCCATGATACTATGACTATGAGATAAGATATTGCGCATGTTTTTGTGACGTCATTGGAGAGTTGCACGTTCGAAATGTCAGTTTTTTGTATATGTCAATAAATAATCTTTAATAAATAGTTTGGAGATATCCTTATGTGTACGATTATTGTAATTATTAAACCTCTTAACTTATTTTCGTCTAGTAATTTCATCACAGAATGCATACAAATCCCATTTAACTTTAACAAGATTTCAAATTCTACTCTCCAATGACGGCATGCGCGAACCCGACCGATTTTGAGCTACGGGAAGATCCTATCTTGTTATTCATAGTATCATGGTATTACCCATCGAGCAAAGAGAGATAAAAGAGGGAATCTAATCGTTATGAAAAGGAGACCAAAAAGGTGGCCTCTGATGGCGGACATATCCGGAAATGCAAAGGCGCTAAATTTAAATTTTCCAACACTTGTTAACAATAGCTATAAAATATTTTTCAGACGAGAAAGTTTTAATTAAATATTAACGATAATAGTCTAAAAAGTGACACAATTGGTAAAAAACTTCAATATAAATAAAATTTCATGTGACAGTTGGGACAAACAATAACATAACCAAACTAAATTTGACTTCTTAAACAAGGAAAGAGACTGTCTTTCCTTGTCTAAAGTGGCCTCTCAAGATAGCACTTCCTGTCTAACAATATTTTTGTCCCCACTACCTTTACATTTCCTCTTTTATCTTTTTGCTCGATGGTATTACCACAGAATAATAAACAATCAGAATGGCCACTCTGTGCAAATTTATTTGCGCATGTGCGAATCAGCCACGTTTTAATTAGTTTTGCTGTCTTGTTTGTTTATGTATTGAGAAGTTTTTGGTGTTTGTTTTTTAATAGTTAATATAATTTATTTATTTAGTTAGTTAGTTACTTTAAAATATTTGTGTAATAAAATTAATGTCGTAATTATTAAACACTAACACAAAAAAAAACAACTTATACATATACCTTGTTGAATGATGTCATTCAATTTTCTAATCAATCCAGGTATAACATGGCTAGATTCTAAATTATAATTATCATGAGGTCCAAACACATTACAAGGAATGACAGAGGTGAACATACAGCCGTGTTGTTGGTGGTAAGCTTTATTTTGAATATCGATTAAGCGTTTGGCGTAACTGTAGCCGAAATTTGAGGGATGGGGCGGTCCATTGTGTACCTAGAACAATATGTCAGAAAATAAATGAAGAATAAAATGAACTATATTGTTAAACGAAAGTTAACTCCTTTCAAATCAAACTGCAGTTTATCTACTTCGTTTCACGTTTTTGCTCACCAATAACGCAGTTTTATTTTCCCGAAAACTTTGTTGTTCCCGTATACTTTGAATGTTACTTCCTAATTGGTCTATTGGTTTATGACCATTTTAGGTATCTACGTTTGGTCTACCTTTTTCTTTTTCTCTATGTTTTGATAAACGTACTGATACTAGATACTCATATACGAAATGCCAGCGAATATGTCCTGCTATTTCCACTTCTCCTGTGAAAGCTGCAAAAAGCGCCACGTATTTTGGTAGCCTTAACGGAAACGACGGTCGTTTTCTGTCATTTTGAGCTTTACGAAATGTGTAAAATATTTAAAAATTTCAGCAAAAGCTTTGCTACAGCTTTGATGAATTAAGACGCGCGAAAGGAGCATAATTCGTCAAACTTTCCGTTTATGAATTGGTATCAATAGACTGTTATACGTTATTTCTGTATGCTCTACATCTTCAGAAGTCGGGTAGATACAACTCCCAGATACACGGTAAGTCAGCGAATATGTCCTGCTATGTTAACTTCTTCACAAAGTTCTTGCTGAAATTTGTAAATCTTACACATTTCGTACAGCTCAAAAAGACAGAAAACGACAGACGAGTGTGACGACAAAAAGTGGTTTGTAGAACAGTTATTTCCCAACATTCCACAAAATTCAGTTATCATCTTTGATAATGCGCCATATCATACCAGAAAAATTGAAATTCCCATAAGTTGGCGAAAACAACACATTATCAATTGGACTATCCACAATGTGGTACTATACAAAGATAATAATATGTTAAATAAAAAGATTATTAAGTAGCTTTCATACATCCCCCTTACTGCATATATGCTACGTTCTGTACAACATAATGCTCTGCTTGTTTTTGCCACAGCAGCACTTACATTCATCGATCTTGTAAAGTGGTTAAAAACATTTAAAATAATTTGTTTTTCTTGACGTCTTTCTAATTGACGTCAAAGCCACAGAACACAAATTTTGACACAACATTCAGATGCTTGGCAGAAAAGAACTGACAACATCGCAATGGTAAATAAGAATAGAATCATTGAGAACACAGAATAGTAAAAGAGAGTCATAAGAGCTCATCTCTTATGACTCTCTTTACTCCTAATATCTTAATAGGTATAGTATACCAATCAAATACCAAAAATTTAAATTATTATAACACTACGCAGCCAGTATTACGTAAAATGTACTTACCATAGTTTCATCAATAGGATACTCTGTTTTATCAGGAAATATACAGGTAGAAAGGCACGACACCACCTTTTGAACGCCAGTTTCAAAACTAATTTGTAGAACGTTGTCATTCATTTTTAAATTCTTTCTCTAAAACAGTAATAAGTAATATAGGAACCTTTTTGTTTACAACTATAGATATGTTATTAGGAGAATGTTCGAGAAATTGTTTACTTGCATCCAGAATAGGTATATCACGAACGATATCCGTCAGATCCAAGACCAATGGGGCTACCCACTGACCCAACTATTATAGACGATCGTTAAAGATGGAAGCAAGTTGTGCAGTCAGCCAAGACCCACCCCGTGTTGTAGTGCTACGAGAAGAACAAGATATCCGAGAGACCGATTTTTTTTTCGATTATGTGTTTTTTGGAGATGAGGCTACATTTCACAAAAATGGAAAGGTGAATCGGCATAATTTTCATTTCTGTGCATCAAGCAATCTCTATTTTGTTAACACTATTTGTCAAACTAGGTAGTCTATAAATGTTTGGGATGAAATTGTTGGCGATTATGTGATTGGCTCATATTTTTTTGACGGACGTGTGAATGGTGCCATATAACTGGATTTTCTCTGAATTTATGGTTAAGAAATGTGGCTCGGTCATTTGAACATCGGTTACAAACTTGTATAGACGTTGAAGGTGGACATTTTGTACATTTACTTTAGACTTATTTCCTTAATATCACAATAATTGTTACATTCATTACATATTATTATGGTTTATATGGGGTAGCGGGTGGACACTTCTCTGCGATCCCAGCAGGAGATAGATCTACTTCAGGAATAGCATACCTACTCACGCAAGCTCATGCATTTTCCCAGCCTCTCATCTCCATTATATGCTCCAACGACTAATATAAGAAATTAAAAAAAATTATGAGGACCTAGACAGTATATTACACAATAATTATGGGCGACTTATGCAAAAATGGGATTTAAACAAGATGATGCAGAAGTAGCAATGGGTAAGTATGGCTATGGCGAAAGAAATGTACGAGGGCAAAGATTTGCTGAACTTCTTACACCAGGAAAATTTATTCATAATGAACTTTTTTTTCGATAAAAAGTCTCAGCGTAAATGGATATGGATTAACCCAGAGGACAATGTCAAAAATGAAATAGATTATATCATAACAAACAGAAATAATCAAAGACATCGAAGTACTTCGAAAGTAAAAAAAAAAAAAAGAAATGGATTCCCCCGAAAACAACAGCCTATAACACTTACCAGATATATACAAGGCTTGTAAGACGAAATAGAAGATGTAAATCAAGCAAATTATGGGATAATGAAGGCTCTAAAAGAAACGGAAAGGAAGTGACTGATCTGACGGAAGGATCTGACCCATAAAGAAAAACTAAGCCAAAATACCAAAGAGCTAATAGGTAATAGAACACAGCTGACGGAACAATACGGCTCCAACTACACAACAATGAAAAAATTAAATAAAGATATCCACCCGTCAATCCGAAAAGACGTAAGAAAAATCAATACAAGAAAAATAACTAAAATAATTCAAGAAAACAAAAGTTTAAAAGTTTTGAGGCGAAATACGAACAACATATATGCTACAAAAATATTGTAACGAAATAGCCCATCTCCGATGTGTCACAATTCTTAGAACGATAATTCTACTTAGAAAGCTCGAAGAGTTGGCATTTCAATAGCGCACGTCTTCGATGGGCTTTCGAGGACACGAATTAGAGGTGGGCACTTCCGAATTTTCTGGAACATTATAATTTGTATATATATAACGATGATTGAGGTAGTTAGTTGATAAGAGAATACCGAACTGTAAACTTATAACTGTAAATAAATATATTTATATAAATTCGAACCGCTCGTTTTATTTAAAAAACGGTACAATATGTACAAAATAAAAAACAAAGATGGAAACATTACTACTGATACAACCAAAATCCTTGAGGTTGTCGAATCCTTTTATCGCGAAATGTATGAGAGCACCGACGAAAGGCAAGATCAACCCCGCCCAAAATCACAAACCAGGGATCAGAATTAATGCCAGAAATAACTCCATACGAAATCAAAACGGCACTTTTAGAAATGAAAAATACCAAATCCCCTGGCGATGACGGAGTAGTGATCAAAGCGATCAAACTAGATAGAAATAAAATTATCAAGGATTTGGCCAAGCTTTTTAACGAATACATCTACCAAGGAAAAACTTCTTCTCAATAGAATAATGCAGTCCTATCAGTTTGCTTTCACACATATACACTTTTCACAAAAATTATCAAAAAAGTGATAAAGAACCTGATAGAGAAGTCTGCAGAATACAACAAACCATTGGCACTGATATTTGTCGAATACGAGAAAGTATTCGATACCATAAGTCATCAGAAAATGTTAAAAGAATTAACAGAATGCCGAATAGACCATCGCTACACTAACATAATCAAATATATCTACCAAAATGCCACAGCTAGCATAAGACTATCTGAACAAAAAAACAAATAAATTTTGTATACAGCGAGGAGTACTGCAAGGAGACACAGTCTCTCCAAAGTTATTCACGACGCTTTTAAAATATACTTGTAAGAAGGCACATCTAAACGAGCATAATATTAACATAAATGGAGAGAAGATCAGTCATTTGAGATTTTCAGATGGCATCCTCCTTATAGCCGATCGTATGAATCATACAATAATAATGTTTGAAAAAGTATATCACGCTTCCTTGGAGGTCGGACTAAAGATTAATATGAACAAGACGCAAATAACCACTAATCTAGTGCTAAATCTACATATTGCTATTGATGGAAGGGATATTGTGCAGACTACATCATATATGTACCTAGGACATGAAATTGGATTGGACAGAGATAACCAGACATGTGAGCTCACACGTCGCATAGGATTAGCCTGGACAGCGTTTGGTAAATTAAACTATGTATTTAGATTGGATCTACCCATATGCATCAAAAGGAAAATCTTTGACCAATGTGTGTTACCTGCACTCACTTATGGAGCGGAAACATTACCACTTACAAAAAAGGTAGTTAATAAGATTCGCGAGACTCAGATGGCTATGGAGCGCCAGATGTTGGGTGTCTCCCTGAAAGACCGAATCCCAAACGAAGAAATACGACGCAGAACTGGATGATGTTAGCAATAACTGGATGCAAGCCGCACAAGACAGAGACAGATGGATGGAGTTGAGGGAGACCTATGTCCAGCAGTGGACGCATATTGGATAAAAAATAATTTTGTTATATTATCACTTAAGACTTATTTCTACCTACAACCATTGAATGCATTTGAATGTTAATATGTAACTTCATTATTCTCTCATTTGATATTTTTTTATCGGTGTCGAGACTCTCTTCTGTCATGATACTATAACAAAACAAGATAAGTCAACGTGCATGTTCTTGTGACGTAAGCCTGAGACAAGTTGTCAAAATGCCAAACTGACAAAATTAATGACAGCAAGTTAAACTTTACAATTAAATTAAAATTTTTTATTTCATGCAATTCTAGTTATATAAATAAAAAGAATTTATATTAATAACAGTAGATAATTAATATATCAATATTATAACAGCAGAGTAAATGTTTCTATGGATAATAATAAATGTTTCTATAGATAATAATATATATTAATGCCCATTTTAATAGAACTTGAAGTAATACTTTATATTTGATAGGTCTTTAAAAAAAGTTACTTTGGATGTATGTAGTGAACTGGAACATATTTTTCGTAGTTATAATATCGACACATTAAAAATAACAAAAAATTGTTTAAAAAACTTAATAGAAGCTGCAAAATATGTAAATGTTAGCGAAGATGTAAAATTACTTTTTTTTAGATGTAAAATGTATTTTAAATACGAATTCTAAATCAAAATATTAAAGATGATTACAATACTGCAAAAGAAAAATCACAAATATTGTAAAATAAATGTCTAAATAATATTCATAAAGTCTCAAGTTTGACCCGCTTTTCCTTTATGGTCAAATTCTTTACATTTTGCCGGCCTTTTATATTTAATTTATGTTTTGTAGCAATATTTATTTTGTTTGTAATACACACAATCAAATCGTAGATTCATATATTTCTTTAATTAATTTTACAAATTAATTATTAATTTTCAAAACACGTTTTTACAGAAAGTAACTAGTTATGACTTATTAGTGCAAGATATGGCATCGAGGTATACTTACCGTTAACAGTTTAAGTTTTGAAGTTGTTCATTACAGTAATGGAACAACGTTGCCATATGGTGCATCGTTAAAATATGATACAAACAAGTCCCCTGGCTTTGTCTCACCATGACGACATGCGCAAAGGCGATCAAAATTAGAACGGCAAGTGAGCATATCTTGTTTGTTATAGTATCATGGTCTTCTGTGTTCTTTCTTCTTTAAGTATTTTAATATAGATTAACATGTAGGGAAGGGTGGGGTAGATTTGGACATTATTTTTCAGTAGGGAATATTTTCAAGATATTTTAATAATTTATGACAAATAATGTATAAGTCAATAGTTGTATCTGTTGTCTTTGAACAGTCAAATATAGAAAAAATACAAATTTTCTTCAACAGTGTATTTGTGCAATTGTACCCCACCATGGGGCAGATTTGTACAGTTGTGGGACACATTTGGACCATTCAGATAAACATTTGTCTAATCCTTATAAACAAAAAATAATATAATACACAGGGTACTTACGAATGATATTTATTGGTATAATATGAACATATTTGACAAAGAAGTTATTTAATGTTGTAAGGAAAAAATGGGGTATTGAACTTTATGTAACACGCTTGACGAGATGTTCCCTTCGTTTCTAAAGATATAGGAAGTTTTGCCACAATATCGGCTCTGGATATAGTGCTAATATCATTTTTCAGTAGGCCACTAATAAAAGCCACTGTTTAGTTTGTATCGTAAAAATTTGATTGTTAGTTCCTCATCCACTAGTTCTTCTACACAGCCCACAAAGTGAACAACGGTTTTCTTTGTTGCAAATTTTATCAAAACGAAGTCGCCTACAAAAACTTCTTCATCATCTAAAAGACCATTTATTACCTCCTGATTAATATCACGTTTTACTTGAA